TTGTGTGTGTGTGTGTGTGTGTGTGTGTGTGTGTGTGTGTGTGTGTGTGTGTGTGTGTGTGTGTGTATAGAGTGCAGTGCCCAGGAGCTGGTGGCTAAACAAAGACATGCCCAACGGTATCAGAACAGATGCTGTTTGCTCAACTAATATTGACAGGGGGCGTTTTTCCACATACCAGGATGTGACACTATAGGTGCGGCGGCCTTGCAAATGTCCCATTTATCACCCGCCGTCTGTTTATAGATTAAGAGAGCAGTGCCGAAAGCTTTATACTCTAATCGGCCAAAGATCTAGAGTTACACTGAATTACTTACAAGATATAAGTTGTAAAAAAGGACATCTAGGGAATAAAAAATACACTTCTGTCACAATCTTGTAGCAAATTGTAATAATAACTCGCCGTTGTTTTCCATGGCAGACCTATTTTCACTCTTCCCTTCCTCCGTGCTCTTTCCCTATTTCAGTCTTCCTCCATCATGTCTCACCCACTCACCCACTCACTCTTCTTCTGCCTCCTCCTCCTCAGTGAATCTATCTCTCTCTGCCTGAACACTAGAGGTTTTGTGGCCAACTGTCCTAGATTTGCTATTTTAGCTATATTTAACCCTGACTTGCAGTTCCAGCAGCAAATCGTCCAGGTTTCAGTCAGAAGTTCCCCCAGTGGGATCACTTGTGGGGAAACACGAGAGAAAATGTGCTCTTGGCAGCATCATACTTTATCTCACATACATACATATCAGACAGTTGCTGAATATAGACCATGTTTTATTCCAACGTGGTTTAAAGCACCTTTTTTGGCTTTCCTGTAAGTGGAACTCAAAATAATGTTGTCTTCCTCTTCAAAACACACAGCGCTGTTAATGTTGTGCTTAAAATAACAAATAAGCAGTAGCTCAAATTGTATGCACCTTCTTTGATTGATTGTCCTTTTCACTTCTAAATGAAGATGTATGCAATATTCTAAATTTATTTTATTGTCAACATATACTAGGGCTGTCCCGAATACCATTTTTCGGGCTCCGGATATTCGGTAGTAATTAGCAGCGAATATTCGGTGCGGAGAGATTTGTATTTTTTTTTTTATAAAAATGTTTTTCAAAAAAATATTTTTTTTCAAAAAGGTTTCATAACACGCTCCGAATCCGAGACACCTGACAACACGCTGTTAAGCAGAAGCGCAGAAAGACCATACTATTACGATTTATATTTATTTATTGTCTCAGTACTCGCAAACGTTAAAACTAAATGTGTCCTCTGTAGGGTAACTGTAGGGTCTGCTGTATTGTTGAGGATGTTGATGGCGTGGGGATGCACCTATGGACACAAGTTATTATTAGGCTGAGCAGAGCTACTCAACTTTATGCCAATAATTGCCTTAGCCCCAGATGTTCCCACATTACTCCTATTATTTTCACTATTCGGATAAAATAAAAAAACTATTATAAAAAAACAATTCGGTTGCTTGCTTGCAACTGTTTTCCAAGCGAAGTTAGTGCACGTTTTTATCATGTGTAACGTTACTGTTTAAACGGCGGATAAAGCAGCTTCATCATGGCAACTTGACAACAGCTAAGCTAAGCTAGGCTACTACTTACAGCATCCAGGTGACTTTTCAGAGTTGTTGTGCCACCGTGGTAGGCCAGTTTCTTATCGCATATTTGGCACATATTCTTCTTACCGTCGTCCAATTTAAAATGGTCCCAAACAGCTGAAGTCTTCGGCATTTTGTGGGTGAAACGAGGTGAAGCGTGCCGTTTGCGTTCGTGACTATGAGTGAACGCGATGTCAGGAGCACAGGCTGAGATTGTATATATTTCCGCATTTTAACAGTGCAATTCAAAAGTATAAATATAGTATAAGAATATGGCAATTCGCCTTTATTGGTAGCATACATTTAGGAAAAAAAATAAAATAATGAAATTGAAACCCGAATAGTTGGCCAACGAACGAATAGTCGAATATTCGGGTACAGCCCTAACATATACAATGAAAAAGGCCAAAGACCAAACATTATTTTATCCTTCTGATTTGCCAAAACCAGATTTAGGGTAGAATTTGTCCTTTTGCCACAAAGCTCCAATGTTGTGGAATAAAAACACTTAACGTTTCTTTTGGTGACTTTTTATTAAAACTCAACTGCCCAGCTGCTTTAGGACATTTTACAAATTAAAACATATGCATCAGACAGGGCTGAATGTCCAATAGGGGAATCAGAAAATAATGACAAAAGGACTTTCTTTATTTTAATGACATTTATAGAGAAATTGAGAATAAAACACTCTATCGTGATGCACCCAATGTCCACGAACAACTAGTGAAAAAAAGTTGAACAAAAGCAGAACATCTCTACATGTACCCACTGTGTTGGACCAGTCATATCTGTTAGCCCTGACCCCGCGCTGACGTCCTTTAATGCCTGTCAACCCCGGAGTAAATGAGATCAGTAGTGAAGGTCTCTGCAGCTGAAGCAGCGCTGTGTGTGGCTGCCTCTCAGCAGTGGGAGGCCAGAAGAAACAAGACAGACTCTCCATGCGTGAGGAGAGAGGCTGTTTCCAGGTCAGCTGCTCCTCAGACCTCCCTGCTGTCCAAAGGCTCGTTCCAGTACAGTACTTAACTTAGCAAGGGTCCTCACCTTTCTTTTTCTTTCTTCTTTTTTGTTTCATACTTTTTTTTTTTATCTGCCCTTTAGTTGTTCCTTCACATGTAAATCAGAAATGCCTCTCTGCTGGAGCGTAAGGCCTTTTTCTACTGCGGCTTTAGAAATATGAAAGAGCTCTCAGGAACTGAATTCACTTGATTAGGCTCCGTCTCGAATCCACTCTCTCTTTCTCCCTCTGCCTGTCTCCCTCTCTCACTCTAACACACTCACTTTAGAATGTACAGTAAATAGAAACATGCTTCTTACACACACACACACACACACACACACACACACACACACACACACACACACACACACACACACACACACACACACACACACAGTTATAGGACCCCTGCTGGGTTGAAGGTTCCTGGAATAGGTCAAAGGAATTCTTATAAATAATTTCTTGGTTTCGTCAAAATACACTGTATATGATGTTAGGAGTAGCAGTGACACTATTAACAGTGAAGCTACAATGATAGGAAGAGTTTATCCTTCTGTGCTATTGAATCTAAGATAATTATATAAATCTTTGTCCCTTTAATATTCCAAACACACACCATTCGCACGGAGGCAGGTTATATTTGGGACAAACTAAACACATTGTTTATGCTCTTTCTCCGTTTTCTCTCACTTTGTTTACATGCTAATGTGATGTGTATTGTTGGTGGGTCCCAGGAGGAACTGCAGTAGCTCGGAGGCAGAGCCCGGGGCTTTCTACATTTAGTTCCTTGCCAGGCTAATAACAGGCTGCCTCTCTGAGCTGACTGTCCTCTCATATTATTATGTGTGTCCCGTCTCCCAGCCCTGCCCTGATTCGTCAGCAGATATCGCTGTCATTGCCATGTTGCTGTGCGCCTCTGCTGCTCTCACAGAGTGCCTGCTATGCGCTTTTCTCTGGACAAATACATGGCAATATGAGAAGAAAATATTATGGCAGAAGTCTAATAGGTCAGCATGAATAGGTAGTTTGTGCAATACATCTGTATATCTAAATGAGAAAAATCTCATCTGTAAGGGAAAAATATGAAAGAGATATTTTTTTCATTTATTTATTTATATTCTTTTCTATGTAAAATCTTAAAATAAACGGTTAACATAAACAAATAAGCCTTAAAAAAAACGAGACCCTTAAGAAATTGTGATTTTTATATTTTCAACATCATTGACAACATTTCCCTTTACTTTAAAATGTACCATTTTGTAGAAACAGATTCTCAGAACATTTATATTTTCCATTCAAACTAATGACACACGGTGGAAATGATGATGATGATGATGATGATGATGATGATGAGGATGATGATGATGATGATGATGATTCAACTAAACACAACATCATATATATGTCATTTTTTTTTATAAATGCACAGTCACTGTTACATAATCATATGTGTGTTGCCAGGACTGTCATTAACAGTGCGTGTGGTTGCAGGTTTGTGATTGGCCGGGAGCGTCCGGGCCAGCAGAGTGAGGTGGCCACGCTCATCCAGCAGACCCTGGAGCAGGAGAGGAGGCAGAGAGAGCTGCTGGAGCAGCAGTACGCTCAGTATGACGCCGACGATGACGAGGTAAAGACCGGAGTCTGGACGGGGCATTCAATTAATGTTCATACATACTTATAAGAGGATGTACCCCATAGTGTGGAACCATTTTCCAATGTGCAAATAGGGTCAAATGCCCCCCTGGATAAAAGGAACATCCTTTATGTATGAAGCTCATTATATCCACATGTATTTGAAGTTCAGCTGCTGTCAGTTCACACACTTCTTATACATGACACTTCATTGGAAAATGTAAGCTTCTCGTTGTCACTTAATGTAAATCAGCTCCCTTCTCTTGACAGTTTCATGGAAGTTTTAGGTTATTAACTTCTTAAGACTGACTGACAGTGGGCTTTGATGCTGGCACACAGAATACACTCTCTAACGGATACACACAAATGAAGAGGATGCCATGTGAGTTCTAGAAAGCATCATTCAGCATTTCCCCTCTGCTGCTTATTCACAGCACGTTTAATCCAACAGACACTGAGCTCATGGTCCCGTGTGTGTGTGTGTGTGTGTGTGTGTGTGTGTGTGTGTGTGTGTGTGTGTGTGTGTGTGTGTGTGTGTGTGTGTGTGTGTGTGTGTGTGTGTGCGTGCGTGCGTGCGTGCGTGCGTGCGTGCGTGCGTGCGTGCGTGCGTGCGTGCGTGCGTGCGTGCGTGTCGGAGACACACCGGCATGTAGACACACTCACACTCAATGTAATTACATACTATACAGTAGTAGCACAAATCAATGCATAGCTCATCCTCACTAACACACACAGCTGCAGTCATGCGTAAATGTACATGCTGAAACATACTAACCCGGCCTCACTGTTAGTGATGTTTGATGTCTTTCATTTCCTGTTGGTATGTTGGATGAAAAGCCTTCATGCATAAGAAACTCCTCCCAGGCCCCGGAAGCTGATCCAAGCGCTCCCATCACACATTAAAACACTGTCAGCTCATATTAAAGCTCCTGCATAGAGTTCACAATTCAGCCATTAGCTACATTATCTCACAGCACTCTCTGATTCAAACACAGAAGAAACCTCCCTCCTGTGGCTTTAGCCCTGCTCTCTGTTAGTTCAGATAGAGGATGTAGAATGAAAATCAAAACTATGGAGAACATATTTATATATACACTGAACAAAAATATAAATGCAACACTTTTGTTTTTGCTCCCATTTTTCATGAGATGAACTCAAAGATCTAAAACATTTTCTGCATACACAAAATAACCATTTCTCTCAAATATTGTTCACAAATCTGAAAAAATCTGTGATAGTGAGCACTTCTCCTTTGCCGAGATAATTCATCCCACCTCACAGGTGTGGCATATCAAGATGCTGATTAGACAGCATGATTATTGCACAGGTGTGCCTTAGGCTGGCCACAATAAAAGGCCACTCTGAAACGTGCAGTTTTGCTTTATTAGGGGGGTCTGGGGGGGTCCGAAAACCCTAGGGTTANACAGGGAGAACTGTCTGGTGCTCTTTGCTTTGACTTCCATTCGCCAATGAGACAAATTCTGGTTGTTGTCTTTATTATAAAATTCTCTGTGTCGGTACTGGTGTCTGTAGCTGGTACTGGTCTTGTGCTGGTACTGGTGTCTGTGCTGGTTTATAGTCTTGGTGCTGGTACTGAGTGTCTGTGCTTGTACTAGTCTTGGTGCTGTACTGGTCTTGGTGCTGGGTACTGGTGTCAGTGCTGTACTGGTGTCTGTGCTGGTACTGGTTTCGGTGTTTTGTGCAAAGCAGCCCAACTAAAGGACTGTCTAAACAGCAAAGGGCGCAATAAATGGATTATTACCTATGGCAAAAATGTGCATAGACATGTATAGCACCAGTATTGTGGGAGCTATCTTGATTGGCGTATTACAAGATATGTAAAATGTCAATTTACTCCGGATCCTATGTAATAGCTAAGGCCTATTCAGTGTTCGAACCGTTTTTGTTCTCTTTTCTTGCCTTGTCATTTTTTATGGGTCTTCTCGTTGCATAACATCTACAAATGAGGGTCTATCTTTGCTTGCACGTTTCAGTATTTTACCGTGAATGTATTGTTATCTGTTATATTTAAGAGGCCTCTAATCATGCTTTTTTCTGGTTTTCCTTTTCCTGTATTGTGTAGTGGCTCCAAACACTTAAAGGCTCCTCCGCGGCTGGATATTTACGGCCAACAGTGATGTTTCAAGAGAGTCGTGACCGCATGGGCGCAACTTTATCTCAGCCAATGACCAGCCTCTGCATGCATCCCCTGGATATTATTTTATTAACTGCACTACTACTTGATACACACCTGACATCAGAGGAGAGGACTCTTTAAAGTAGAGCCTACTGATACTTGAGTATACACCTCGAACATCAGCAGGAGAGGACTTCTTTTAAAGTAGATGACACTACATACTGATATACACCGGTGAGGACATCAGCAGGAAGAGGACTCTTTTAAAGAGAGACACGGTACTACTGATTACACCGAACATCAGCAGGAGAGAACTCTTTAAAGTAGAGAAACTTACATACTGATATACAACCTGAACATCAGCAGGAGAGACTCTTTAAAGTGAGACCTAATACTGATAACACCTGAACCATCAGCAGGAGAACTCTTTAAAGTAGGACACTAATACTGATATTACACCTGAACATCGCAGGAGAGGACTCTTTAAAGTAGGACACTACATACCTGGAGAATACACCTGAAATCAGCAGGAGAGACTCCCTCTCTAAGTAGAGACACTACATACTGGAATTACACCGGGGAACATCAGCAGGAGAGGACTCTTTAAAGTAGAGACCTACATACTGATATACACCTGAACATCAGGCAGGAGAGGATCTTTAAAGTGAGACACTACATACTGATTATACCACCTGAACATCAGCCAGGGATGAGACTCTTTAAAAGTAGAGACACTAATACTGGATATACACCTGAACATCAGGCAGGAGAAGGACTCTTTTAAGTAGAGACACTACCATCTGATATACACCTGAACACAGCAGGATAGGACTCTTTAAAGTTAGAGTACTACAGGTACATACTGATATCTGTAAGGCTTATATTTATATAAGGCTTTATTAACTCTGTATTGGAAGGCTGCTATTCTAGTGTGATTCTATTAAACAAGGTAACCGGGGGACTATATGTATGAAACTAATCTTTATGGCCATCACAATTGCTTGTAGTACCTGTTAAGTATTAGATATAAATGTGTGTTTGTGTGCTTGCATCTCGATCCATTACCCTTCAAAAGGACATGTGCATACAAGGAGAACTTTCATATTATTTATATATATGATTGATGGTTGCTGAACATTATGAATACCTTGTAATCCTGTTGAGAAATCTGTGTCTTGTCCATTGATCCGGTACAGTGCCCTGGTTGGGCGAGGAGTCCTTCTGTTGTTATAAAGCAAAAGAAGAACTAAGATTAGTTTCATCTTATGGTGGTTTCATAACAATGTTCCTAAGTGGTCCAACATATTTTACTTTGGATATCACACCTTGTGTCCCTTTGCCCTGACATCAGCTGTAGAGACGAAGTCGGGGCACGTCTTTTCACAACCTCTTTTGTGCCGTACTGGCTTGTTTGTTTGGATCATGTCGGCGGAACAGAAAAGATTATTGTTCTGCTTAAATTTTGAAACTTGAAAAACTCCATTGCGCACTATTTATTTACTCTGGAAACTGAGGAGTAATGCCTGTGAGCCGGCGCTGAACTCCACACATCTTTGGCATTGTCCAGATAACTTCTGCCCAGCTCAGCGCTGCCAGATGTCTGCTGCGCCTTGCCCACCAGACTGAAACACAGAACAGTCCATTCTCACAAGTCTTGCTGAAGGGGTAGGTGACCAATCAGGGAGCCAGATGGTCATGGTTTGCAAATAGGACTACTGCCTTAATCGCCAACAACTAATAGATCAGATATATACTGTCAACTCGAATGGTCCAGTCAAAATCACATTATGAGTGCAATGGGGAGGAGATCCCTATCTCCCGCCCCGCATTGCATCCTCGATCATGGTTTATAAAGAACAGTGTGGGAACATCACGTTGTTTGCGTTTTCTCTAGAATTAATGATACCAATCTCCATGGTTGCTTAGCCAACTATTAAAGGTCAAGATACCAGCAGCCAGTTAGCTTAGCGATGAGAAGCAGAAACCTTTGATGTATTACAAGCAAGGGCTAACCTCAGGGTGTAAAAAGTGAAGCAAATGTTAAAATCTCCATTGCTAACGAAAATAAGTCTATTATATCAGATCCTGATTCTGACTGGATTCATTGCCTCTCCGTAAACATTGCAAACATGAGATTATGGTCTCAATTGGAGGGATTCAAGTCAGCTGGTTTTGAGTTCATGAAAGTTTTTAAATTGTAGCATTTTAGTCACCTTAAAATATCATATTCAACGTTGGATTCTACGCCATCATTTTGTGTCACTTCTGGTCCCGCATTTAACAACTTCGAGACCCTAATGATTAAAAAAAAGGGCTATAAAAGTGCTCATACTGGGTAGTTTTTTTTGTTTAAAAAAATTAATTATCCGCTGATTTACAGACATCTCTTTCCCAATGTAAGACAATAGGACAAAGTATTTTTTGGCCGGGTGACGTCACAGACTGATACAGAACTTGTAGTATTTTGGCCACGAAAACTTGCTTCAACGTCCGGTGCACTTCCTGTGGGCTTGGTGAGATCACAGGGACTACATCCAGGGGTTAAATAGGATGATGCTCTAATGTCCCCGGGAAACAAACACAATACACACAAACGCGTCACAGATTATTTTGCGGTATTTGGCTGCCGAACGAAATAATGTACGCAGCTCGCGACGTAAGGAGTCTAGTGGACGCCGGTATCAGTAGCCTACTGCAAGTAAAAAATATATATACACTGAACAAAAATATAAACGCAACACTTTTGTTTTTGCTCCCATTTTTCATGAGATGAACTCAAAGATCTAAAAAATGTTCTATATACACAAAATAACCATTTCTCTCAAATATTGTTCACAAATCTGAAAAANTGGTGTGACCACCATTTGCCTCACGCAGTGCAACACATCTCCTTCGCATAGAGTTGATCAGGTTGTTGATTGTGGCCTGTGGAATGTTGGTCCACTCCTCTTCAATGGCTGTGTGAAGTTGCTGGATATTGGCAGGAACTGGAACACGCTGTCGTATACGCCGATCCAGAGCATCCCAAACATGCTCAATGGGTGACATGTTAGGGTTAGGGTTAAACTGACTGGTTTTCAGACCCCCACAGACCCCCCCCAATAAAGCAAAACTGCACTTTCAGAGTGTCCTTTTATTGTGGCCAGCCTAAGGCACACCTGTGCAATAATCATGCTGTCTCAGAGCATCTTGATATGCCACACCTGTGAAGTGGGATGGATTATCTCGGCAAAGGAGAAGTGCTCACTATCACAGATTTTTTCCGATTTGTGAACAATATTTGAGAGAAATGGTTATTTTGTGTATATAGAACATTTTTTAGATCTTTGAGTTCATCTCATGAAAAATGGGAGCAAAAACAAAAGTGTTGCATTTTATATTTTTGTTCAGTTTATATATATATTTTTTTTTTAATTAATTATGTTGTTTATAAATTATCCTGAGAGCCCATCCCTGAGCTAAACTAGCATATTTGCGTAAAGACATAATTGAGTAGTATCAATGTTTCAATCCAACTCTCTTCAAGAACGCACATATGCATATTATCCTGTTAACACTTTTAAACCTTTATTTCTCTATTCACCACTCTAAAATAAAGTCAAATGTATGCCATTATGCTCAAATCTATGCTATGCTAACCTCTTTCCTCAGAGATGCTGCACGTGGAGCCATGAAACAAGAGATTAAAATTAAATGAATGTGAAGGGTAGCATTTCAAGCTAAGCTATTCAAGAGAAAGAAGGAACGTCTTCTGTAAACCAAAAACAGGACAAAGAAGGTCGTTAACACATGACGAGACCATGAGTGGGAAGTACAATATTAAGANAGGAAAATAACACCGGTCGGATTCCGTGTGGACACGTTATTAGTACGACAGAGTCTCGTAGAACTATACGGTGTGGACACTTCACCCTACCTAATAGAGCCGTTTCCTCTTCACGAGTGATAGTGTCTAAAAAAGGCTAAACACTTGTTATAAACTCTCTTTACCAATAAAACACATATATCTTGTAAAAAATCTAGAAACTCAAGTAGAGTACTTTTTACCCTCGTTTTTGTTTTCACAACGTAAAATATAAAAACAAGTCAAATATATATATAAAAAAAAAATTAATTAATACAACAAATATTTAATAGGACTCTCGGGTAGGGACTCGATTTGATCGTATAAACGCATTTCTGTATTAACTCATCATAGTTACAAAGTTAGGTTGAGAGAAGTTCTTGCGTGTATACGTATAATAGGACAATTGTGAAAATTTGGAAATAAAGAGATAAGTGGTGAGATTTTATTTCAGTTTACATACGGTAATACGAGTTTAGATACGATACGATTGGAGAAAGGAGTCTCTACGACGTGCACCTCGGTACTTTGTTCTCTAATTTTAATTTACTTACACTTCCCATCGTAAAGTTCGATTCGATAAGTTCTTCTTTCTTCCTTTGCAGAAGACTATTTGGTTTTCATCCTGTTTCTTCCAGCATATTGTGTACTTGCTCTGGTACGTGCTACCCTTCAATGTGAGAGATGTCCCTCTCGATTGCAATACTTAATGGGTAATTATCGGTTGGAACTCTTGCGTTGTACACAGACGGCGAACGTTTTACAGTGGATTTTTATCTCTCTATTCACCCTGATAAAAATCGACGGTGTAGCATTACTGAGGGTGTAGAAAGTTGTTGGAGCTAACCTTTGACGTTATAGTATATTTAGTAATCTCGACCTCTTCTCTGTACTTGGGGCCTAGGAAGTACGTCTTATGGTAAAGATGGTATACCTTATGTTTTTTCTTTCGCAGGGCTTAATGGAATTATTAACGTGCAGTTTTGCTTTATTGTGGGGGTCTAGGGGGGTCAGAAAATCCTGGGGTTAAACCCTAACCCTAACCCTAACATGTCACCAGTTGAATGGGCAGCAGTTGTGGGATGCTCTGGATCGGCGTATACGACAGCGTGTTCCAGTTCCGGCCAATATCCAGCAACTTTGCACACCCATTGAAGAGGAGTGGACCAACATTCCACAGGCCACAATCAACAACCTGATCAACTCTATGCGAAGGAGATGGGTGACATGTTAGGGGTTAGGGTTAGGGTTTAACCCTAGGGGTTTTCGGACCCCCCTAGACCCCCGAATAAAGCAAAACTGCATGTTTCAGAGTGGCCTTTTATTGTGGCCAGCCTAAGGCACACCTGTGCAATAATCATGCTGTCTAATCAGCATCTTGATATGCCACACCTGTGAGGTGGGATGGATTATCTCGGCAAAGGAGAAGTGCTCACTATCACAGATCTTTTCAGATTTGTGAACAATATTTGAGAGAAATGGTTATTTTGTGTATATAGAACATTTTTTAGATCTTTGAGTTCATCTCATGAAAAATGAGAGCAAAAACAAAAGTGTTGCATTTATATTTTTGTTCAGTGTATATATACAGTATAAACATATATTCATTGCCAATTTGGAAGAATCTTCATTCAAAGTTACTAAGGAAAGTAAATACATAATAATAAAGTTAACAAGACATTATTTAGTAAAACATTAAATATTGTAACCAGAAAATATTTTTAATAATACAATTATTTAATAATCATAATTATAAAAAGACACAAATATATCCAATCAAATAAAATAACTATTCTAAATATAAAATAGTAAATAAGTTCCAACAGTGCATCGAATAATTATTTTCCAAAGGAATTTGTAGGAATAGGAATGTTATCCATATAAAAAACACTCACTGGTTAGGATATTGTATGTTTAGCTATAGGAGAGAGCAAACAATAATGTGTTACTTGTTGTTATTAAGCCTTGGAATCTAAGAGAACAGACCCAGGAATCAACTTTCTGGAAGTTTGATGAAAACTATTTGTGATCATTTGTCAAGTACATCTTTCCAAAATGATTTGATCCTCGGGCAATCCCATAAGCAGTGTAACAGTAATTAACTTCAAGTGAGCACCCTGCTCCACAGATCCCCAGAAGGAGGCATGAACATAACAATGCTGACTGTATTAAAATAGTTAATCCATACATACATTACCAACCGCTGTAAAAACACACTTGAAATCTGCCTGCGTTCAGCACCAAGTTATCCATAATCCCTACGTAACTGCCGATAGGGTAAACAGTTACGAAACCATTACAAAGATCTATGGTGCAATAAAAGGAGCTCATAAATATTAATATCTCTATAAATATTAGAATGAGTTCTCAACAGGGGGAGTGTTGAGGGAGGTTATTTCTCACTTTTGAGTGCTGCCTGCGTTGATCTGACGGACAGCTCTTTATTGGTGCTGGGGCTCCTGTCCCAAGAGGAAGAAATCCTGCTTCAGTTAGCAATAGTCATCACACACACACATCAGTCAAATTGTGGGTTTGATTATATCTGATCCAACACACACACACATGCCCATCTGTCAGCACTTAAATGCTACACACACATAAAGACAGCATGGAGACCAAACGCGCAATATCAGGTTTACTTCGGCTGTGGGAAAATGTGGTCAGTATTTCTCCTCTGTATTATCATATTTTATAAACTGGATTAAAGAATAGAGATTCCATTGAATAAGGTTGAAGAGAATAATTATATTTGATAAAATGGTATCTAAACAAATGTAAGCGTATAGAATAAAAGGCTCTTTGTTCGTCAGAATTAAACAAAAAGTAACTCTACATTAAAGACTGAAAAGATCTATTAATGTCAACACCAACATGTAGACACATGAACACACACACACACACACACACACACACACACACACACACACACACACACACACACACACACACACACACACACACACACACGA